AGTAGAGCTGAACTCTGCCCAGGTCCTCCTTCTTGGCCTTTTGCAACCCCCTATTTTATTCCATGAGGTTTCCAATTATTTCTCAAATTCTTCAACTCCCTCATCCACTTAAGCTACTGGATTTTGGCAGATGGCCTGATTTCCTACTTCAAAGACAAGTTATCAGGCTTGAATTGTCTCAGTTCCCCTTCCACCCCTGCCCCCCACACTGTTTTAATCTGCAGACATTCCTCTCTATGAGCTACCATTTTCTCAGGCCAAGACGTGTCTCTTTCCCATCCTAACTGAACCTGCGCAGAAGGACTCCGGCTTCTCTACTCTCTCGTTTTCAATTTCCCCTCTACTTGCTCTCTTTTTTTCTTATAAACATGCTGAAATCTAAAATCTCCTCATCCTAAAAATAGAAACAATAAAAATGAACCCTTTTCTAAGTCAGCTTTTGCCTCAAGCCACCACACTTATTTCCTTTCTTCCCTTCACCATCAAACTGCTCAAGAAACTAAATCGACACTTGCTCCTTTATGTTACTGCCTATTCCTGCACACCACATTGTTGATTAGTAGGTTTTTCCACCTACCAATCCATCTAATCAGTTGATAACCCTCCTCCATATCCCTTTTTAGCTCTCCTCATCTCTAACAAATTGTATGAATGTCTCCCAGCCGGGCTGTCTCTACTGTAACCCAGCTTTCATACGAATATCTTTACAAATACAAATCCGACGCTGTGTCCCCTCTGCATATTCACCTGGTAAATAAAGTCCAGACTACTTAGCTTCGCTCACCGCAACCTCCGCCTCCCAGGTTCAGGCAATTCTCCTGCCTCAGCCTCCCGAGTAGCTGGGATTACAGGCACGCGCCACCATGCCCAGCTAATTTTTTTGTATTTTTAGTAGAAACGGGGTTTCACCATGTTGACCAGGATGGTCTCGATCTCTTGACCTCGTGATCCACCCGCCTCGGCCTCCCAAAGTGCTGGGATTACAGGCTTGAGCCACCGCACCCGGCCTATTCACTCTTAAATTGCTTATTTTTTATTAATAAAATAGAAATGAGGTCTCACTATATTGCACAGGTTGGTCTCAAAATCCTGGGCTCAAGCAATCCTCCCACCTTGGCCTCCCACAGTGTTGGGATTACAGGCATGAGCTACCACGCTCAGCCTTGTCTCTGAGATTGTCACTTATTAAGGGACATTCTTCCCTGCTTTAGTTTTCCCTTTTAGAAGAAGAGGCTGGTATCCTCTTGAAAGTTAGTTCTGTAATAAAGCATTAAAGATGATCCTCAGCTGGGTATGATGGCTCATGCCTGTAATCCCAACACTCTGGGAGGCTGAGGCGGGCAAATCATCTGAGGTCAAGAGTTTGAGACCAGCCTGAGCAACATGGAGAAATCCTGTCTCTACTAAAAATATAAATTCAGCCGGGCATGGTGGCACATTCCTGTAATCCTGGCTACTCAGGAAGCTGAGGCAGGAGAATCACTTGAACCCTGCAGACAGAGGTTGTGGTGAGCTGAGATCGTGCCACTGGACTCCAGCCTAGGCAACAAGAGTGAAACTCCATCTCAGGAAAAAAAAAGAAAAAAAGATCCTCAATCCTCTACAAAGACAGGTCAAATGAGGAGAAATACGTGTTTGGTTTGATTTGTCAACCGAATTCACTGGCCACTCAAGCACTCACGTAATGATCATTAATGTAAATTAGTTCCACAGATAGTATAGTCCCCTGGTTCAATGATAGCATTTAATGGGCGTTGGAGAGTCCTGCTAAACCTCCTACAATGTGCATAATAAAGAATTTTCCCTACCAAAAATAACAATTCCATATAAGGGTTTATTTTAGAAATGAGCAATTTCCCCTTTTTGGTCTTATTCTAGAGTTCCTAATAACTCCCTCCAGGCTAAGGTAAAGCCGGCTTTCAATTTTTCAGGAGGTATTTGTAGACTTTTAGCTCTCTATTTCCCTTTCAGTTTTCTGCTCATATTTGGGCCACTTCACAGCTTGCCAGCAACTTCCCAAAGAGTGGGAGGAACACAAATGAGTGGTGAAAGCACAATCTTTTAAGATTTTCTTCATGTTTTGGAATTTTTTGTTAATGATTGACTAAGTTTTGAGACTAGATGTGAATTCCATTTATCCATGTTATCCTCATGTCTAATCACTTCATTTCATTAGGGAAGCAGATAAGAAACTGCAGTATATATGCAATGTACATGTCACCCATATAGTATACATATTGATTTATTCTTTTTTTAAAAACAGGAATTGAAGCCATGAAGCCTAAACTAATAAACCCAGGGCCCAAAGTGAGACAAAGACAGAAATAGCTTAATTCTTTGAACTTACACCCTTGCATTTTTGTCCAGCCAACTTAGCTGTTTAATCTCTATGTGTTAGACTGAGTTTGACTTTCCCCTTTTGAAAAATTTAAGTCCCAGGGATATAGGGTTCTTTGAAACCCCAGGGTTATCTGACAAATTACTGTACCACACATAGAAAGTAGTTTTCATCTACAAAGGACAATGTTTTTCCTATTATTCTGTTATTTATGTCATTTTAAAATTCATTGAAATAATTTTTTTTTTTTGAGATGGAGTCTCTCACTCCTTTACCCAGGCTGGAGTGCAGTGGTGCAATCTCAGCTCACTGCACCCTCCGCCTGGGTTCAAGCGATTCTCCTGCCTTACCCTCCCGAGTAGCTGGGACTACAGGCGTGTGTCACACCTGGCTCATTTTTTGTATCTTTAGTAGAGATGGGAGTTTCAACAGGTTGGCCAGGATGGTCTTGATCTGACCTCATGATCCACCACCTCGGCTCCCAAAGTGCTGGGATTACAGGTGTGAGCCACCATGCCCAGCCCTTCATAGAAATAACTTAAAGGCATAAACAAAATAAATGTGGATAAAATATGGAGAAAGGCTTTCATTCTCTGGAAAATACTGATTTGATCCAAAATGCAATGAAATGAGGAACACGGTGATTTTTTGTTTTTGTTTTGAGACAGATCTCACTCCCTTAGCCCAGGCTGGAGTGCAGTGGCACAATCTTGGCTCACTGCAGCCTCAAACTCCTGTACTCAAGCAATCCTTCTGCCTCAGCCTTCCATGTACTAGGCATGAGCCACTACAGGCATGAGCCACTATGCCCAGATACACAAATTTTTTTTAAAGAGACGGAGTCTTACTGTGTTGCCCAGGCTTGAACTCCTGGGCTCAAGCGGTCTGCCTGCTTCGGCCTCCCAAAGTGCTGGGATTACAGATGAGAGCCACTGTGCCTGGCCCAATCGCTGTGGTTTAAAGCAGATTTGTGTACTGATGATTAAAGTCTTCCATAAAATAAAATTTAAAAAGCATAGAAAGTAAATTCTGCATTTCTTGATATGGTTCTCTTTCAGTAATGTAATTTAAGTATATGAATATAGAGGTTTAATTAACTCAAAACAGGCATTATCCAATTATTAAAAGAGGCATTATCCAATTATTATTTTAAAGAATAATAATAGGCACTCTGGTAATATAAATTATCTCAGGTTCTCTGCATCAGAGTTAACACAGGACAATGAGCTAGAAGAGGACAGTTTGGAGAAACAAAAAATTGTTTTTCCTACCAATAGCTCTGGAGACCGACAGACTTCCATTCACCCTCCAGGCACCAAACCAGACTACGCAACCTCCGAGGGCCTCAATTCGTTGCTTTTCATCCTAAACAGCAATGCAGTAAAAAGAAGCAAATAACTGGATTCAGGATTTATTCATCTACTTTAACAGTAAACAAAAAATATAATACTTATCTGCTCATGAAAAGGTTCTCCTTGTTTCTCCATTGGAGGGTGGGCACAGCTGCTGATAGCACTAACTGTAGTAATTGTAGCAATAATTGTAATATTAAGTGGCCAGGCGCTGTGGCTGACACCTGGAATCTCATCACTTTGGGAGGCCAAGGCAGGTAAATCACGAGGTCTGGAGTTCGAGACTAGCCTGGCCAATATGGTGAAACCCCATCTCTACTAAAAATAGAAAAAATTAGCTGGGCATAATGGCAGGCGCCTGTAATCCCAGCTACTCAGAAAGTTGAGGTAGGAGAATCGCTTGAACCAGGGAGTTGGAGGTTACAGTGAGCCAAGATTGCACCACTATACTCCAGCTTGGGTGACAGAGTGAGACTTCATCTCAAGAAATAATAATTATTATTAAATGAATCCTGGCCAGGTGTGGTAGCTGCGCCTATAATCCCAGCACTTTGGGAGGCCAAGGCGGGTGGATCACCTGAGGTCAGAAGTTCAAGACCAGCCTGGCCAACATGGTGAAACCATGTCTCTACTAAAAATACAAAAATTACCCAGGCATGGTGGCGTGTGCCTGTAATCCCAGCTACTAGGGAGGGTGAGGCAAGAGAATCGCTTGAACCTGGGAGGCGGAGGGTGCAGTGAGCCAAGATTGCACCATTGCACTCCAGCATGGGCAACAAGAGCGAAACTCCGTCTCAAAAAAAAAAAAAAAAATTAAGTCAATCCTACCTAATCAATAACTAGAAAATCTAAACTAATAACTAGAGCATGGGCTCTATTAAAACAGACCATACTTACCTCTCTGTCAGGTTTGTGTGGCTTCATTAGTTCAACAGCTTGGCCCTTTCTCACAAGCATAACCTGGGAATCACCCACCCAGGCCACGTGTAGCATGTTGCCTCTGATGAAAGTCACCACTCCTGTGGTCCCACATCTTAAGCTCTGAAAATAGTTTAAATAAAACCACATTCAGCAAAAAGAAAGAGATACTATATTTTTACTGAGAAGCACTTTATAACAAATGTAAGCTTTTCAGCTGGGAGCTACACTATTGATAATGGAATTTCACAAGTACACAATAATTCATATGTCTCAATGCATTTTTACATACATATATTTATTTATGTGTATATACACATATAAGTCCACCTGATCTGTGATATGCAAGGTGGGGATGATTATTAATTCCACTTTATTTTTTTTATAATCAGTCTCCATAGAGACTGTCAAAAATTGCCAGTGCTGACTGTGTTGCAAGCTGTCACGGAGGGGTATTGGGAAAAGTTTTCAATTAGCAATAACTGCACCTCAGATAAACCTCATTGGCTACGATACGGCCACTGTGCAAAGCTTAATTCCACTTTAAATACCAATAAGAAAACTATGGCAGGTTATGTGACTTGCCCAAGGGCAGGTAACTGATTAGTACATAAAACAAAATGGAAATTCTTTTTCCTCCCAGTCAAGCACCAAATCCCCTATACAAATCCTCAGAGTAAAAATATCTATATTCCGCTCTCCATTTCATTACTGACATCCTATTTGCTCAGTGGTAGAATCCTAATTGTACCAAATGATACATAAAACATCTGACGGGCACACAACAAGTGCTCTAATCTCTGGAAATTAAGTTAAGGAGCCAAGAGACAGCTTACGTTCCCTGGAGTACTAAGATGCTTGTACTTTTAAAAAATATCCTCCCTACCAACATTTTTAGGGGCCTTTGCTTTTGGAACACTGTATAAAGAACGAACAGCTTGGAATCTCACTGCAGTAGCTACCACTGTACTTAAAGCTCTTGATCCTACTATACGAAAATGACATCCCCATTTGACATGAGTCACCACCAAACAAGCATGACTTTCTGTTACTAAGGACCTGGCCTAAATTAGAACCAATGCGTCAGGGGTGGTAAAAGGCCTCTTGTATCCAATGAGAAAAACAACTTCTCATTTTCCCTATATAGGGAAAGTTTGTTATAAATCCTCACCCACCAATAAAATGTCTTCCCACACAGAATGTTCAAAAACTCAGCCCCCTAGAACACATGATAAAGACACTTTAGTGCATATGCCCTGGAGAGAACAGGAGGCAGGGCTGCTTCACAACAGGAATAGCTGCTTTCTTCCCAGCAGTTAGCAGCACATGGAAGCATAAGGAGGAAAAAGGGGGCTGCTGAGACAAACCTATATTATTCAGAACTATTGGCAGAACTGAGAGCCACCAGGGTCACTGACGAAACAAATGAGGTAAACATGATCAGAAAAAAAGCCCATAATTTTGAGACGACAGAGAAAAAAGAACAGAAGAAGACACAGTGATTTTCTTTGTTCAACACTGGTGATTACAGGTCACCTCTCAGGGGCCCGCTCTTGTCCTCAACTCAGATGATGAAAGCCCACAGCTTCAAGAGAGGCAGAGCCAAGCAGAATGCAGGTCCTCGAGAGACTGGGAGCTCTGAGGTCAAGCGCGGCTTTATTCTCCAGCCCCATCTCTTTGTGTGGACTCTACTGGTTACTGCTGGATTTGCATATTAATCCAAACTTAGGGGAGGGGAGAGATAAAAAATAATTCTCTTTCATAATACTAAATAGGTCTGAATTATTGTTTTATTAATTCCAAGCCCCATTATTGCTGGTAGCATTAACTATGCTATCAAAAACATGGATTAAATGATTACCCTGATCTTTCCAAGCCCTTTTTCTTTTTTTTAAGACAGAGTCTCACTCTGTCAGTCAGGCTGGAGTGCAGTGGCGCAATCTCGGCTTACTACAACCTCCACCTCTTGGGTTCAAGTGATTCTCCTGCCTCAGCCACCTGAGCAGCTGGGACTACTGGCCATCACACTCAGCTAACTTTTTGTATTTTTAGTAGAGACGGGGTTTCACCATGTTGGCCAGGCTGGTCTTGAACTTCTCACTTTGTGATCCGCCCACCTCAGCCTCCCAAAGTGCTGGGATTACAGGCATGAGCCACCACACCTGGCCTCCAAGCCCATTTTAAAAAGAGTTAATGTTTCCATCCTGGCCAACATGGTGAAACCCTGTCTCTACTAAACACAAAAAATTAGCTGGGCGTGGTGACGCGCACCTGTAGTCCCAGCTACTCAGGAGATTGAGGCAGGAGAATCACTTGAACCCAGGAAGCGGAGGTTGCAGTAAGCTAAGATTGCACCACCACACTCCCGCCTGGCGACAGACTGAGACGCCATTTCAAAAAAAAAAAGTTAATGTTTAAGTCACAGGGCATGAGTCTTATTTTCTGTCTGTATCTATTTCTGTAATTACTTTTAAAAATTAAAAATCATTTTCTTTCTATTCACCCCTTGTTACAAAACCAATATAGAATACTATAGTTAATTATACTGTAGTAAATTATGTACCAATACCCAGAATGATAATTACTTTTTTTAACCTTTAGACCTTAATACAGAGCCCTTGCCATTCATTCAAAGTAAAAAACTTAGGTCTGATTAACCTTAGCAATGTAGGACAGGAGCTCTGACTTTTCTGCCAGTAGGAGAAAAATCAGCTCAAGGATCATCTAAGGATTCACCTTCTCCGAGAGAATTTTCCCTCAAGAGATACACAGCAAAACACTGCCTACCCATTTAGAACCAAATGTATGGAAGTAATCCCAGTTTCTGTTTCCTTTTTAGACCATTGTTTTATTCACCATATCCAGATCTTGTCAGCAAGAGTCTGCTTAGAGAGATGGTCCTGGTGTGAACCTGACAAGCAATGGTGAATAAAAGAAAGATGAAACTCACCTGCCAAATCCAGCAATTATTACAGAAATGAATCCAGAAAATTACAGCTTGAGACTTTCTATATAGCACATCATTGTACCCCCTGAAACTTCCTGAGAAGGCAATTAGAACTACAACAGAATCCAATACTAGGAGTCAAGAATACAATTTGGATAATGTCTGCCCCGGAAGAGAAAATCTAAATAGCCCTTTAACCACACAGACTAAGTTAAGCTCAGCTAGTGCAATTCCAGCTGGAATTTGTGAGAAAGGGGCATACCTCCCTGGCTGCTTTCTGTACAAACCGCTCATCAGTGACCCGGAAGGCCCTGCACAGGGCCTCAGCAGGATCATGGGGGAACATCTCCTGGCGGACTAAGTTAACGTGGAGGTGAATGGAGGCGTAAATGGCAGCATCAACTCCCCCATGACCATCAAACACTGCAAAGTAAGCTTGTTCTTCCTGGTCCTGTCAACAGAAACACAGAACAGTTAACGGAGCTGGGTATAGCATGATTCAAATGAACCAATCTCCCGGCATCACTGTTGCCCATCCTTTCTCCTCCGCTGCATTTGTCATTCGGAATAATGAGACAAAATGTTTTCCTTCTCTAACATGCCGGATCAATTGCTGAAATACCTGCAATATTAGGGCATCTGTGTTTACACACCAGAACACTGGAACACGTCATACCCAATTAGCTCAAGCTGAAGTACCCTCTCTTTCCGTGAAAGTTGTTGTCTTGTACCATGGAAACCACCCACATACATTTGCCTCAAAACTGCTGTTACAAGTTGAGGGAGGGGGAATATGGAGGGTATGAGAAGGAATTGAAAAAAGCAGCTCTAGATTGATTTTTTTTTTTCAAAATGAAAGTTCTTTAATAGCAAAATTAGAACCTGAGAACAATAGAAAATAACTGGTCTTCTAGCACAAGGGCAATTAAATTGAAGTTTAAGACATATGAAGATATGAAAGCACAAACATGCTTCTAAACTATAATACGTTCTTCATAAATCATTCCCAGTCACACTGCATTCTCACTGTAAACAGCATATCATCTCTAAGCTAGTTTACCAAACTTGAACCATGTCAGATGCTCAAATGCCCTGTGTGGCTGACCACTTTGCCTCACCCCATGGTCTAAGATTGTAGTTTCACATTTCCTTGCAAAGGTAACTGCTGGTGGGGCGATCTTCCAATCCTGTGCTTTATCTTGACAAAAAAAGCCCAATCATAAGATGCCATATCAACCATTAAGTAGTTTGCTGCTTTATCTTCTGCTCAAGGGTTTAAATCTCGGCTCTGTCTCACTTAAGAGATCTGTGGCAAATGAACTGGCACTGAGTCCTGAGCTCCCTTCAGGCAACAGTATGTAATGACTTTCATTTGCAAGTCTTTTGAGTTCTTATTCCTAGGCTCTAGGAGCCTTAGAGGAGTCCAGGCCTGTCATTGATTCTTAAGCGAATCATGTAATATTCTGTGCTAGTTTTCTCATCTGTTAGGCAGGGATGAGGTGTGGTCTCATGGGGATTTGGAAGAACTATTAAAATAACAAGTATATCTGCACTTTGAAAAAGTTCTTTTTAATTAATTAATTTATTTATTTGAGATGGAGTCTCGCTCTGTCGCCAGGCTGGAGTGCAGAGGGGCGATCTTGGCTCACTGCAACAACCTCTGCCTCCCAGGTTCAAATGATTCTCCTGCTTCAGCCTCCTGAGTAGCTGGAACTACAGGGGCATGCCACCACACCCAGCCGATTTGTATTTTTTAGTAGAGATGGGGTTTCACTATGTTGGCTAGTATGGCCTCTATCTCTTGACCTTGTGATCTGCCTGCCTCAGCCTCCCAAAGTGCTGGGATTACAGGTGTGAGCCACCGCGCCCAGCCTGAAAAAGTTCTTATTATTTACTTATTTTTAGAGTCAGGGTCTCATTCTGTCACCTGGGCTAGGGTACAGTGGCATGATCATAATTCATTGTAACTTCGAATTCCTGGGCTCAAAGGATCATCCTGCCTCAGCCTCCCGGGTAGCTGGGATTATAGGCAAGAGCCACTGCACCTGGCTGAAAAAGTTTTTAAAAGGGTATATTACATTCCCCAAAGTACCAAATATAAATGTCCATAGAATAACCAAAATATTGTGAAACCTATGCAACTTTAACGCCATTAAAGACAGATTAAATGACTCTCTAGAAATAATCCTGGCTGGGCGCAGTGGCTCACGCCTGTAATCTCAATACTTGGGAGTCTGAGGCAGGTGGGTCACCTGAGGTCAGGCGTTGGAGACCATCCTGGCCAACATGGTGAAACCCCATCTCTACTATAAAGACAAAGATTAGGTGGGCGTGGTGGCACATGCCTGTAGCCCAGCTGCTCCGGAGGCTGAGAAAGGAGAATCTCTTGAACCTGGGAGGCGGAGGTTGCAGTGAGCCAAGATCGTGCCACTGCACTCCAACCTGGCAACAGAGTGAGACTCCATCTCAAAAAAAAAAAAAAAAAAAAAAAAAAAGGAATAATCCTGACAGGTAGAATTTCTATCTCTGCTCAAGCAGTACTCATTTTTAAACAACTCAAAATAGCACCAGAAGCAACAAAAGGAA